CGTGCACTGGTGGGGTCCCTCGGCCTGGCCTGCACCCTCTCGCAATCTGGGACCCCTCAGGGGATGTCAGAGGCGGTTTCAGCCCAATTCCCGCAGGTGCACCGGTGGGGTCCCTTGGCCTGGCCTGTGGGGATCAGGCCAAAACCAGCAATCCCACATCCCTCGAGGGGTCCTGGATTGTGAGAGTGCACAGGCCAGGCTGAGAGACCCCACTGGTGCACGAATCCATGCACTGGGCCTCTAGTATGCATGTAAGATCTTTGGTTAATCTCTTCCCACCCTCCCCCCACTTTCCCTCTGAAAGTCTTCAGTCTGTTCCATGTTTCCATGCCTGTGTGTTGAGCATCTGCCCCCTGGTGGTCAGTGCGCATCATAGCTAACGGTCGAACGGTCACATTAGCTTTTTATATATGTAAATGATTGTAACTAATAATTGTAATACTTTTCAAGACTGATGTACTTGAATTTCCTTACAATAATTTTGTATGTGAAAATCCTTCCCCACCTGTCGTTTGAGCACCTGTTCTCTCACCTTATAAAATTAGGAGTTCTAAATGTGATCGCTGAGAATGATTGTCACTGTGAAACTGCTTCTTTCTCGTGGCCATCTAATCTGTTCCCAGCAGGAACATGTAAAACTGAGTCAAGACATGCATGTCTTACCTGACAATTTACTACTCTTGACTCTTCACAGTGAGAAGTACTAATAAAAAAGCAAGGTCACAATCCTAGAGAAAAGGTATTTAATGATGTATTGTTTTACATAAAACAATTTGATTTACTTTATACAATCCCTACCATCCTTCCTTCTGCCTTTATCCTCCCCTGTTCTTTGCACTAACATTTTCAGGGAACAAAATCACTTAAAAAGTCTCAATAAATTTTAAATTGTCATCCCCGTTATAAATAGATTAACTTAAAACAAATTCTCAAAACAATGCTTAACACATATTAAGAGCTACAGAACAATCTCATTTTTCTCCATCAGATAAAACACGGAAAAAACAACCAACAACCACCCTATCATGCATTAAAAGTTATCTTACAATATGTGGCTGAAGGCCAACTACTGACAATTACTGAAAGGAGGAAGAGGCGAGAGAAGCAGAGGATATAAATTTAATCCTTCAGTACATCATTTGATCAATATGTATAATATATTCACGTATAAACATGTTTAAGAAATGTTACTTTAAAAGAAACAATATAAACATCATTGTTAGGAAAATACCATTCCCATATGATATCATAAACTCAGTCCAAAACTTAGCATTCAGTGGATCATTTCTGGGCATACTCTAAGGCAGTGGTCGCCAATGGGTGGTTCGTGAGGCCCGAAAGGTTGATGACCACTGGTTTAAGGAAACCTTTGGAGCAGCGGTCACCAACTAGTGGTCTACGGACCGAAAGGTTGGCGACCGCTGCTCTAAGGTAAGGGCGAGTTTCGGAAATATATTCCATGAATATATATTTTTTAAGAAACTATACAATTACTGTGTTGATTTTAACAACATGTCAAATACAGTTAACTTAAAACAAATGCTGATAGGATTTTTAAATTATACATACTGTGTCTAATTGTCCACATATACAAAAATGTTCATAAATTTAAGATAAATTTATATTTTCCTCTAGCTTGTGAAAGTTGCAATAACCTTTCTATTTAAAATATTTCTAATTAAATCACATTCAATAACTGAAATTCAAACAATCTCCCAGATGAGACAGTTGGGGAAAAACAAAGAGGAGTTTCTATCATTCTGAATGTTCTACTGATGCTACAGATAAGATGACCCAACACTAAAAACTAGCATGGCTGGAATATGGAAAAGATAAATATGTAACAGTGAAAGAAAATCCTTTCAGAATGAGCGAAATGCAATTTACAGTGTCATCTGTAACCAAAATTCTGAACTCAGCCTTTCTTATTTTTAAAACTTTTGCCCAAATTTCTGCAGATTACAAGGTCTAAAATCCCACTTGGTGGATTTACACATACATATTAGTACTAGGTAATATTTTATGCTTAATAAGTCTAGCAAATATTACTTCAAAACCCAATTTACATAAAGCATGTTGCGCTGCTGACTACATTTTACAGAAAAAACTGGGAACAGAAAAATTAAGTGACATTTAAAAAGTGACACTGGGTTAAATAATGAAATTGAGAACATAAATCAGCCTTAAATTCTAATTAAAATTTCTAAATCATTACCTCTTTTCTCACAGATTTTGGCACAAATATTTTTTAAATGCAGTCTACTTTTTTTTTTTGCACGTACTTGAAAATTTTTAAAATAACATATCCTCATTAATGATAAATCTCAGTAATGAACTTATTTACCTTGCCATGCTCTAAAGTTAGCAATCCTTTGAGATAGTCGCTTGGGGTTTAAAAAAACAAACAAACTTATTTTAATATCACATTTTCCATCTTCATTTTTACTCATTTGTCCAATAGTGGAACTAAGAGCCGGTACTAAAAAATCAGTGGCATCATTCAAACTGTTCCCTACATTTTTGTAATATTCAATTATGCTAAGAGGAATAAAACTGTACCCATTAACCTAAATTTGGGCTCTCAACCCATAGTCAACATGAAAAAAATTATTTTGTCTAATGAATGAAACAAAACAAAAACTATTAAAAAGCTCTCAAAAGATACCTGAACACTAATATACCTGCACACTTAGTTCTTATCCTATAAATCCTGTGATTCCAAATAAACCCGACTGCACTAAAAAAAAAACAAACAAAAAAAAAACTCCCTTGAAAGTTTAAAGAGTATGTAGTTGTTCTTTTATCAAAATAGAATTTTTCACAAGTGACTAAATAGAACTGCACCTTAGGAAAATCGAGCCTTTAATTCTGGAGAATAATTTGCACCTAGAGAAAAATTCAAGGTAATGGTTTTCTCTACATGTGGACTTTAGACCAAATCTATTTATTTTAAATGTGCTGTAGCCACTTGTTGGGCTGTGCTGCAGGACCACCGTCCTAGTGAGAATATCTTGTAACAAGGTGCTTTTGATACCTCAGTAACTAAACTACCTTGGATGGGGTTCCAGACAAACCTGACCATAAAATTCTGGCATTTTAATTAGGTTTCAATGTATTCCTTAAATGGTAAAGCACAAATCACATGACAATTTTCCCATTCGGGTAAAACATTAATAAGGAGCACATAAGTAGCACAACTTTGCATTTAAGAAGCCCATAAACACTAATTTTATCCCCAAACATTTTTGGGAAAGAGCCAATTCAAGGAACGCACTGATAAATCTTGCATTATGCCAAAAATCTGTTGCTAAATTGTTGTATGCCAACTGATTTTTCATAAAACAAAACGCCTTTTATAAGTAGCATTAAAAAAGCATTAATTATTTGATGGCACCTTTTAGTCAGCCCTTTTTTGTAAAATATGGACTTCTCATATAATAACATAACTAACCACTATTTAATTTGTTGTGTAATCTTATATTTGTAAATATCAAATTTCTTAAAGTGAGCACAGCTGTTTTCACAGGACAACTTCATCCCAGCATTACTGCCTTCTCCCCATTTCCCAAGTTCTAAAAATGTAACCCCCAAACCAGCTGTCTATCTGTGGTAGCATGTACAGCAATACTAGAAAACTTGAAAAAAGAAATGGAGTGACATTTTTAATGTAAAGTAGAAATGTAAATGTATTCCCCAAAAGAGGTCAATGAATTCTTTTTGGTAATGATCACGATACATGCCCAATAAAAATTATTTTAAAAAATATCAAGATACGCATGTCTCAAGTCGCTTTCCCATATGTCTATCACCTGAAGGAAACCAAAACCTGTTTGTCTCCATGAACACTGACCTCCATGATGCCACCAAGGTCAATGAGACCTACAGGAGGGGATATGCTGAGTAAGTGCTGACCTGCCCAATTCTAGGGTTCCCCTTAAAAATAGAGAAGGGAGAAACAAAAATAACATTTATTCACATCTCACAGGGAATGATGTCTTAGGCTTTAACATTCAAGTACCCCAACCACAGGATTTTATGTAGACATATGTCAGAAATGGCCAATAGGACAAGATCTCAAAGGGGCATCACTTCACAGAACCAGGTACAGAAATCGCTGCCCAGGAAGAATGAAGGAGACCCCAGGCTGAACAAGCCTCTTACACCTGGGACTGAGCGCCTTCCGCATCCTGGCGACTGGCCACAAGGACTCAATTTCAAAATGAGGGCTCTTTCTCTCTTGGCAGAACTCTTCGAAGAGGACAAATAACCAAAGATCCTTAACCAGGAGGAGTACCCACATATGAGAAAGGCTTAGGTGAAGGAAGGGGCCTGCGCAGGCCTATCCCACCAGTTAACATTAAATTCCCGGGGGAGGGTCCTGGCTGATCTCTTCTTCACCAAAGACCCCCTCGGGCATCTCCTCTGCCGTCACCATCTTGCGCCTTTTCACAAACCAGGCATTCTCTTGGGTGAGCTTTAAAGTGTAAACACATTTACCCACTTGGTGTAACCTGGTTAAGCTAGACTCCAAAACCTTCTCGATGTGAAAGCACTCTATTTTGAAATTTCCCAATAACTTTCAAGTATGGGGGGAAAAAAAAAAAAAAAGACAAGTCAGAGCTAGCGCTTGCTCATTTCGAAGTGACTCCACGGAGAGCAGTTTCGCGATGGATAGTTCATCCTAACGTCTGGAAAACGGGTCGCACGCCTGGTAACAGCGCGAAAGCCAGGAGGGGAACCCTGGGCCCGGGCACCGGGTCTTCGGTGGGCCGAGGACCGGGCAGCGAGAGGGCCTCCCAGCCCCTCCAGGGCCGCTCCCGACGGGCGGGTGGCACCGGGTCAGGGCGGTGGCTTAACCCCGGCCGCTCCGACTCGACTCGGCTTTGCTGGGCTCCAGCGCTCCCTGCGAAAGGGCCGCAGCCTATCAAGTGCCCGGGCGTCCTCCCAGTCCCCCCGCGGAACGCCGAGCCGACACCTGAAACCCACGAGACAAACATCACCTTGTTTCGGGGCTGCAGAGTTCGCAGTGAGGATTTTGAAAGTCCACCTGGCACAGATTCAGCTGGTGCGTGTGTATGTGTGTGTGTGTGTGTGTGTGAAAGATTAACCCGCTTCCTGCATAAACAGGGAAGGGCTCGCGGCCATCCAAGCAGCTCCCTCTCTCCCAAGTAACTTTCTTATCCTTTGGTCCTAAAATAACCAGAAGCAACAAACACCGAGCATTGGCATGGCAACGTCCACACACCGTGCCCCGGTGCTGCCCGCGCTCGGAGTCGCTCCGGGCTGGTTCCCACCCAGACGGGTCCTCCCGGTCCCGCTCGCGTCCACCC